AAGTAATCATACTGCTAAATGTTTGTTTTTAATTCCTGTATGACCTGTAAATATTGTTATCTTACAGGTAGACAACATGGTATAAATGGAGGGTTCAAAGAAATTACATTTATTCTGTTTTATACTGTACTAGTTCACTTGTTAAAGGTGCTAACTTATGTTACACTTTTTTCACTACTGTATTCTGACATAAGAGCTGTTTAACCCAGCCTTTTGGGTTTGTTCTTCAAATCTATTATTTTCATACTGATCTGCTTACAAAAAGCTCCAAACTGTGCTTTTTGTTAAAATAAACGCTACATTGACTAGGTGGAGTTCAGTTCATTCATAAAGTGTTGTATATGTGAAACAATGCTTATTTGAATGAGCTGCCACATGATTAAAAGAGATGTTCTATATATCTTTCTCTGAGATAAAACTTCGATATACTGTGGAAATAAGAAAACTGCCTTTTTAATGAGAAACTGCTTTCTGATATACAAGATTATTAGCTTTGACGATCAAATAGTTTGCAATGTACAGTCTCCTATCCATAGCTGTCAGCAAAGGAAATGAATATCTTAATTTTGCCTCTGTGTTTTTGTTTTGTTTTGTTTTGTTTGATTTTTAATAATAAATATCCTGATTTCATTTCATTGGTGAAAACAGTAGGAGAGCATAATGGTAAGGTTTCCTTTTCACAATGCCTTGTCTTGTAAACATAGCAGTATTAATGCTGACACCTAATCGTATCACTGTTAATACCTGAACATCACTGAATTCTCATTATTGATTTACCTTCACATTCACAGTGACATTGTAACAGTGAAAGAAATCAATAATTTATCTTTCTTAGTGGTTCTCGTGGTGTATTCAGTCTTAGAGCTATCTAAACCATAACCATTAATATTGCAAGTTCAAATGAAGACACCCATACCATTGGTTACATTTGTAAAAAGAGAAATTAATTTAAGTTCATGTGAGATTGAACAAAAAATGGGAGAGAACCAAGACTAAAAGATTAAAAGACTTCTTCAGATTGGTCTATTTTTTTATATGTTGATATGTGTAGAATATGTTGTCAACCTATGACAAATAGGAAAATGTGAATGCCTGTGACAAATGGGAAAATGTGAATTAAATATTATTTTTATTTTTAGCCAAATATTTCCACATTGTAGTTCAAACATGGAATGCACTAGCAATAACACTTTGTTATTGTTTCTAAGTCAAAAGAAGCTCTTTCATGTCTGTGACCAAATTCAGGCAAACAAGTAATCAAATTCTCATTAAAAAAATGGAGAGATCCTGAGCTTCATTTTGTGATCTGTGTCTGGTGCTTGTTTCAGCATAGACTTCAAAATTGAATTCTCTTTTTATTTTTTTTTTCTGGAGTATTTCTGATGAAATCCTTAAGTCAGTACCAATTGTTTGGTATGGATTCATTTCTGATGTAAGTAATTTCTGATAGTCCATCAGGAAAAGGAATAAATCGATCCAATCCCTCCAGCTATCCATAAGTAAGCTGGACACCTAATTGTGATACTCCCATTGTTTGTGGGACACTGATGTATTTGAAGAAAGGACTGGGTTTTGAGTTTAAAAAAATCACATACACAGAACTATTAGCAACAATAACAAAATCCCATTATGAAGGCTGCTTAAATGGTCTATGTTAACAGCACGTGAGGTTCACTAGCTTTTTCACAGATATCGGCACCTGATTATGACAGGCAGTACTTCTTTCCTAGCAAGAAAAGGGTTGACTCTGGCATGTTTCCAAACGGGTTTTGAAGACTTCATAGCCTTAGCTTGGGAGATCGTTTTCATAATGGTTTAGCTGCTGGTTTTGAAATCTTTCTTAATGTCTGGCTACAGCGGTTTCTATTCTATTTGCACTCAATTGCCCTACCCGTTTATGCTAGACTAATGCTAATGACACATGTAATGGGAAGTCCTGTAGCTGGTTGCTATTCCAGATGCAGAATAATTGTAATGTAATGAATGTACAGTGGGACAGTAAAAATACCGTTAAAGTTTCCAAAATACTACACAGCTTACATATGTTTTTGGGGACAACAGCCAATGATCCGAAGAAAAAAACTGGCTACAGATGTCAGAGCATTTTTTTTGAAAAGTAAAAACAACAATGGAATATTATTGCATGTTTCACGGAGCACAGACTGTCTTGCAATTGAGAAACTTTTTCACAGGATCTCACATAGTTAATTGGACCAAATTAAACTTACCTTCTGAAAAAAGAATAAAGGAATGAAATTGTCTTATGTGGATTCAGTCCTTGTTTTTTAATAACTTGGGAATTTGCCAGTGATGCAGATGTATCGTGCCTGTCCAGATGCATTATGTGTGATCTGTCTTCATGTAAAAGAATATAAAGGCCATCTGGTTCTCATGAAGCACTCCTCGGTTGATCCTTGAAATAGGACAATAGGACAGTGCTTGTTACTACTTGAAAGAAATCATGTTGTAACGACAACACTTAAATACTTAAAAATACCAAAGTCTGCATTCATGTGCTCTGCCACAATTCATACCTGATGCCACATGGGGTTTGACTGCCAGCATCAGGATACTTAGAGAATGTGTGAGCTCTCCACTTTTGGACATTGGTTTTTGAAGCAGTTGAGAAAACTGCAGTTATGATTTCAGTCTCACTTGGATTTCCTTGATGGCTTTTGGTTTAGTTTCTACTCTGAGAGTGGTTAGGACAGCAGCTGTTGCATTCATTGGTCATGTCCTTAGTGGTGAGCGCGTGAGTTCAGAAAGGTCTTTGAGGAAGGTGCTGCTGTCATGGCTTGTAAGGTGTTCTCAGCATTCCTGCAGATGGGAAGGCTGTAGACAAATCCTTAGAAATTTTGGAGGAGGTTTTGTGGATACTAACTCATATGACTAAAGAGCTCTTTCATTAATTTTGGGAGAAGCTATTATGTAACATCAACATTTTTGCTGTTTTTCATCAGATTCATTCTCACTTTTTTTTTTTTTTTCTCCAGACAAATGTATTGTTGTAACCATGCGTTTTGATGTCATTTTTCTTCTGACTCCTCCTGTGCTGCAAACAATCTTGAAGTATAAGACAAATTAGACCATAGTCTTTCTTTCTCTTTGTAGTGTCATCTTGCAGGTGCTTTTTTTTCCCTCACCTGTGCTTGACATCTCTATGTGGTCTAAATTTGTATTACAAATTGATATACTACAGATAAAATGTTTGTTTTTGTGCTTGAATATATATATATATATATAATATATATATGAATAATATATATAAAAATATAAAATATATATATGAAAGATATATGTATATAAATGAAAGGTTGGGATATATAACTGACAACACGATGTGTATTTTCATTGCCAGATTAGGAAAATTAACATTCTAACACAAATTTGATGCTGTAGCTTCTTGTCAGACTGATGTTTTTCATGATAACTCTTTCCTGTTATCTTTTCCCACTTTAGGGCTGCAACCAGAACTGATACCCTCTCTCTCTCCTTTTCTTTTTTTCCAGTTGTAGTTAGTTTTCAGATCCTCCAAAACAGTATGGACACATATTTGCAATTGCCAATTCTGACTATTTAGAAAAACATAATGAATTAGAGGCCAGAAGAACAATTTGAAGACTTGCATGCAAATCGTTAGTACATTTTTTGCTTGCTTTTGGCACAGACTGCTTCATTTGGGTGTAGTAGAACCATGAATGATATAATTCTGTTCCTGAAGATATTATTTAGGGCCAAAAAAACCCGCCCCCAAATGGTTTCTATTCATTTTCTCTTAGTCAAGGACACAAGGGAAATAAATGATGTCAGGCTGAATTGAAGAATTAAAAATATGTTCATTTTAATGGATCCTTAGTATACGTACACACATAAAGACAGAAACATTCATCCTTGTTCTTATATTTGATTTTGAAGAAAAAAGTTGTGTATTTCTTAAACTTTATTATGATTAGTAAGATGTGACAAGATTTCTGAAGAAGAATTTGTCATGTTTATGGGAACCTGAACCTAAACCTTTCTACTCTTTGCTTTTCATTTTTGAATGCTCTCTCATAAGCCTAGAAGGGCCTTCCTTTTCAATGTCCTCTTGGCATGCAATTCATCTTAACAGTTTATTTCTGCCATGGCTCTTGGCCCCTTTTTGGCCATGGTACATCCGAATTTCCTCTTTCATGTGTACCCTCACGCGTGTTGGTGATACACGCACCTTTCTGTGCGCTTTAACTTAGCACAGAGGGTTGGTGCACCCTACTACTACCACGTGCCGCTCAGCCCTCTTCTCAGTGTATGTGACGTTGTGTCGCTAACCAAGCGAATGTTTCTGTTGTTGAGATTCTCAGCTCAGATTTTTTTTTTTGTGTGTGTTATTTTGAGCTTATGAAAGCATACCAAGGTACATTATCAACTTCTAATTGCCCTTACTGCTGTTTCCCACAGCCACCCACTTAGGTATGGCGTGTGTGCGCGCCTCAGCAACAATTTGTCCACGCCGGACCCCGGGCAGGGGCCTTTCTTTTAACGTGTTACGATGGGAATCGTCTCTCGAGGATTCTCTCCCAGCACAGGGCCATGGCATTGCACACGCACTTGACCCGAAAGCATTAACAGGGCCCAGCGACGCCCACGGCTCGGGGCTGTCGCCCAACGCTGAAGGGGGCTCGGGGCCAGCCCCAAGCGGCCGGCTGAGGAAGAGAAGGAGGAAGCAGGGAAGAGAACAGCGCTGACTCCGAGCCCTGCAGGCGCTCCCGTCCCTCCTGGGGGCGGCGCCATCACCACCCCTCTTCACTGCCCCCTCCTGGGCCTCGTCGGCCGCCGTCCTTCGGCCCCAGGTGAACGCGTATCCCTCCGCCGCGGCCGCCCCCACCGCCGTACTCGCGGCCGCGCAGTCCCCGGATGGAAACTGTTATGGCCGCCGACAGCGCCGCGCCGGGCCGCGGGGACGGGCGAGGTAACCCCGCCAGGGAGGGGGGGACACCGGGGCTGTGCGTGCGGGGAGCGGGCAGCGCCTCGTGGCTCATCGCGGCGGCGAGGAGCGGGCGGGCGGTGCGAGCCCGGCGGGGCAGAAAAGCGGTGGTCGGGCCGGGAGGGGGGGGGGGGGGGGCAAGGCGTGAAATAGTCCCTCGCCCCCCCTCCATCCCGAATGGCTGCGGGGGCGGCCTGGGAGCAGCGGGGGGCGGCTGCGGGCAGTGCCTCAGAGCCGCAGCGCATGGCGGCGCCCCCCGGCCTGGCGCCGTATCCCTCCGCCCCGCCGCGGGCGGCGCTGCGCCCCCTGGGGCCGTGCGGGCGGCACCGGCTGCTGAGGGGCTGCGGGGGCCGGGGGGCGCCGCCGCCCCCCCCCCTCTCCCCCCCCCACCTTCCCCCGCGGGCCGCAGCCGCCCGCGGGGAGGCTCCTCAGCGGGGAGCGGCCGCTCGGGGCTTCCTCAGGGTCTGCCGGCAGCTCCGCGTGCAGGAGGAGCGGCGCTTCTGCCCCGTGCTGCTGGGGCGAGCAGGCTGAGGGGAACTGGGGAGCGTGGCCGGGCTCGCAGGGCGCTGGGAAGCGCTGCCTGCCCGCCCCGAGCCGCGTCCCCAGCCGCTGGGCTTGTTCGGGACGGAGAAACTTTAGCGCAAAGGTACCTGGCGGCGGGTGGCTGGATTGCTCTTAGCTGTCACTTCTCTCTCGCTCCAAGTCTGTAGCTAAAACCTCTTGTTTTCTTCATCTGTCCCGTTTAAAAACAAAATAGTGACGTTTGGGAGCATTTTTGGGGGGGGAAGAAAATCGAGGCGTAAAGCTTTAAGCGGTTACTTAGGCTTGTGTTTAGGATTTATTTCCACATGAGTTATCTGTGGCTCACACTGATGTATGTTCAGGTTTTGTATTTGTTATTTCTGCTTTATAATCTACTTCATACACTGTGAAAGTAGTATTCTTCTCTGGCTTTTGTGAAACTTTCTAGAGAATTCTAATTGGGCTTTTTTTTTTTTTTTGGTGGGGGGAGGAGGGGGGTTGTTATAGGATTTATAATTTTGCAGTGTTTTTGCTTAAGAAAAGGTTAATTTTTTTCCGAGTTCAAGTTTGAAGGGCTCAGGTGCCGGTTGCTGCTTTCTGTCATCTTTTTAAGTCCCCGTACGTTTTCACTTGCCTGCAGTTAGGGACACTGGAGGAGCGTTAATACAGTGAAGGTCAGAACATGCCCAGTGAGGAGGGGTTTGCTGGCTGCTTTTAATCTGACTCGTGAATTTGGAATTTAGGTTGTAGCTGATGGTGTTACCTCCCGGGAGAGCACACAGTACATATTTACAGCTTTTCAGTTCTTCAGTACATTAAAAGTGCACCACATGTGAGATTGTGAAGATTTTGTGGTTTTCAGCTTATTTCTTTAGTCATGATTGTATTTACACTTTTTAAAATATCTTTCTTTTTGTTTCTAGACCTTTTTTCAGTATTTCTCCTGACCGTGGCCTTTTCTGATTTTTATGTATTTACCTCTTCTATGTGTGTGGAAAAATATGTAAAAGGCTGGTGAAGAATTGAAGTCTTTTCTTAATGAGTAAGTCTGGCGTCTTCTTTCATAAAGTAAATGTAAAGATCCTTGGGACTTTATTTTTACTAGTTAAATGTTTCTAGTCAATAATTTTATTTGTTGAGTTGCAGGTGCTTGTCAGTAGTTGCATGCTGCCCAGTAATAACACAGCTAAATTGTAATTTGTGTGGTTTAAGGAGGTCTCAAATCAGGCTTAGATATTTTCACCTGAGATTCTTTGCTGATCACAAATGTTCTGTCTAGGTGGGGAAATGTTGCCCAGTTGAGGACCATATTGGCCCCGTGTTAGAAGCCTGTGGGTTGTTCCCTGAAGAATGCTGCATTCACTTGAAATTTTTATAACATTAATTGCATAAATATTTCAGGTTTCAGTATTTGCAGGTATAGCATTCCAGTCTGAATGATAGATAGCTACTGTCAAGATGACACATTGCATGATGCAACCTGTAATCTTCATGTGTTGCACCTCTGTAGTAAAAAAGTTATTCAGCCAAGAAGTTCAAGTCATGTTTTGGTCACTTTATCTGGGAGTTTAAGTTGCTCCTGTTCAAATAAAGAACTTACTGCTGACAAGAGAAAGTATTGTAGTACAACACTCTATTGGTGAAAATGGAGCGTAATGCAGATGAGTTGTTATTTTCTTAACATTCAAAGCAGAGCAGTACCCTATGTTTTAATCTCCTGTGTGGAAAACAGGACAAGTGTCATTTATTTTATATAATACTTATATATTATTTATCTCCTGTACCTAAAATGATTAATTTGGAAATATTCCCAAAGGGTGTGTGTTTGTGTCTGTTGTGTTGTTTGTTTGTTTGTTTGTTTTGAATGTGAAATGTCATTGAAATAATTTTCAAGAATCCTGTAGAAATGCTAATAATGTTTTTGAAGGTATGCAATAAAACATATGCTAAAACAAACAAATGTGTTCTGCTTTTCTTACTACGATAAATGAGCATGGCCTGGATTATTTTTTAGTCTTTGCTTTCTTTCTGTTGGGTATTGATGTGCTTAATGCTAGATAATTCCTTCTCACAGGTCTATGGGAAGATATTTGGGAGACCTCAGTGGTGATGCTTATAATGGTCTGGAGCTCTAGAAGCAGCTCTTGTACTTCATCACAGTGAGGGAGAGGATGTGATCATTCTTTCAGTTTGAATGTGAATAAATAGGATGATCTAATGAGTTCCAAGTCTGTGTTGCTTTGGGGCGGGCAGGGAATAGCAGAGAGAAAGCTGCTGATCAGATTTCAGCCAATGCTTTACTTACTTTTGCTATTAAAGTGTAGCTCTTACTTTTCTATTACAGAAAGAGTTTTTACTAAAAAAAATGCTAGGGAAGAGGCAGTTCTTGTTCCTTTCCAGTTTCACTTTTCAAAGTCAAATTATTTTCGGTGCTATTCCATTTCTACTGATTTTATGCTGACATAGAAGTGTTGGAGCATAAACTTGAGCTGTTACAAATTGTCAGTGTAGTCTGTTGCAGAAACACTGACACAAAGTCTGTAGAGAGAATGGTGCTGACCATACCTCTTTGAGTTTCTTAATCCATGTGGAAGTACTGTTACCAGTCGTACCCCATGTTCCATAAAGATTAATTTATACCCAGGAACCACATGGTGAGAAATGTGGTTTTTATCCATCGACTACTTCAGACCTTGTGTGAGACGAGAGGTAGCCATTCATTGTGTATGATTGTGGTGATTATTTTCTTCTGTGTGTTGGTAGAGGTCATATCTCTATTAGTGCATTAGTTTTAAAAGTAATATTGTATTTGTTTTCTAATTTCAGGAGAATAAAATGGGGAAGTTGTAGAACACTGAGGATAACTCAGCACAGTAGTCTTGTTTGCTGCAGGAACTAAGCCTAATCTCAAGAATCCACTTAAAGAAAAGGAATACCTGTGAAATCATGCCATCTGAAAAGGGCCATTTTTTTCATGATAAAGAGCAAATTAATTTATTAAATCACAATGCTGCAAATAATCTTTATATGGATACTACTTTGGAAAAAGCATTGGGGAATGATCCTTTAAGTGTGATGACTCGACCAGCAATTTTAGATGTCAGTCTCTCCTATGAACTAAAGAATGTGAAGATTGTTTTACCCAAAGTGAACATTCCAAATGAAGTGTTAATGAAACATGAAGTAGATAGGTTTAGAAAACTATTTCAGTGTAAAGAGCAAACTGCAAGGAAGTCAGTAAATCTGGAGAAAGTGAATGGAAGCAGTCCCATTTGTTCAGAGGGAAGCAATGTACAGAATATACCAGAAGTGCAATTTGAAGAAGGGCTGAAAACTACAGCAAAGATACTGAATTTCACTTGTACGAAGTGTGAGGATAATGTTAGATACAGCCCAAATGACCTACAGAAACATTTTCAGCTGTTACACTATGGCGAGTTGCCTTTGTATCCTTGTGAAATGTGTAACTTCTCAGCTAATGACTTTCAGTCATTTAAACAGCATAGACGCACCCATCGCAGCACTTTAGTGAAATGTGAGCTCTGTAATGATGAGCATATGTACACTTTGTTTGATTTGACAAAACACTTCACATCAAAGCATTGTGTAAATGGTCACTTTCAATGTGAAAAATGTGGGTTTTCTACCCAGGATGTGGGCACATTTGTTCAGCACATTCACAGACATAATGAGCTTCCATATAAATGTGGAAAATGCCATCACATAAGCTTTACAAAAGAGGAGTTCCAGAAACATGTTGTTTTCCATAACAGCGTGTTTCCTTTTGGTTGTCAGTATTGCAGTTACAGAACACAACGGAAAGATTATCTTTTTAAACACATTATATCTTTGCATAGAGACCACTTGTATGCAAAAGAACAACTGGAAAAGGATAAATGTGAAAAAAGAATAGTGAAGACTCCAGCAGGACTAAAGCTTGTGTTAAGAAGGTGTAAAACGGGAACATCGAAAAAACCTCTCTGGAGACGGAAAAAAATAATCAGTGGAAGTGACAAAACTGGAGAAAAAAGTTCCCAAGTGCTAAGAAGTGTGAACAAAATTCAACCAAAATTGGATGAGTTGAACCAGTGTATGAGAGACGTGGAAACAAATGAAGAAAAAGATCGAATTATGTATACTGAAAAGCATAACTTCACAGGTGGAATGCTCTCTGCTACTGCTGCACAATACAATAAAGCAGATGATGGAACAAGCTTCAGCCTGGGATTATTGAAAAATGCCATTCCTGGGCCCACGGTATTGATGGTGAAAAACAATAAAATATCTGTTCCAGCAAATTACAGTGCTAAATTTATGGGATTTAAAATGGTAGATGGAAAACAACACATTGTTATAAAATTATTACCTACAAGTAAGCAAAACTTGCATGTGTTGGGTCAGAAAGCTCATTCTCTTAAAGATGGCTCTACAACTCCTTTGATACAGACTGATGATCCTTGTAGTTTGTCTTTAGGTGCTATACCAAATGTTACTGACCAGTCAACCGTAAAGAACAATTCCATTCACACATTACCCTCTCCTCTGTTTTCTTCTGTTCCTTCTTCAGGAAAACCAGAAGTGGAAAAACAAAATAACTCCTTATTGTATGGTAGGAGTCTTTCTCAAACTGTAGCACCTTCTAATGTAGCTGTAGGAAAAAATTCGTATCACTTGCCAATGAAGTTGGGCTCAACTGTATCTCCATGTGATGAGGTGACAAAAATTGAATCTCGAAGTAACATCTCATGGGGAAACCATAGTCCTCCAGGTCATCCTCAGGTATTACCACCCACTATTACAAATGGGAGTCACTATGACCATATGAAAATGCCCTTCTTTTCTGAATTGAAAATGCAACATGGTGGCCTGAACAATGGTATTGGAAATAGTGATCTCTGTTATTCACATTCAGTTGATTCTTCTAATGAAGGGTTGCTGTCTTTTCATAATTATTCTAAAATGGATTCTTCAGATAATCAGTGTAGCTTTTGGATGTCAACAGATGACAAATCTAAAGAATTTATATCCAGCCAAACAGTTTCTTTTCAAAACAGAATTGAATCTGCGTCTTCATATCCATATCCAGAGTCCATCAAAGGCTTAAAACAAGAACAAATTGTATCAGATGAATCAAATATTAAAACTTATGGATACATGAACACTAAGAATAACTCTATGTTTTCTAAAGGCCAATCTAAATGTGTTATTGACAGAGAGTGTTTTGTGGAAGACCAGCGTAATGGCCAGCAGCATTTGGATGCTAACATACATCAAGACTTTGAGAATGTAACTGAGAAATTCCAAGAAAATGGATCTGATTCTGTTAACTCGGTCTTAATGCCTAAAATCACATCTGTTTTCTCATTGCAGAGTGAACAGGCAGCTCATTATTTATCGCCTGAAATAAACCAGTTATTGCAAGATGTGTTAAAAGTGAAAGCAACTACTCAGCAAGAATCCCACAGCAAGTCAAATAACTGCATAAAACTTCATTCTGACAAGCTGCTTTCTAGTCATCTTTCTAGTCATGAGACAGGGAATAAAGCCTTTGCACACTTAAAAAGCTCAGCAACCGCATGTGGTTTTCAGAGGCCTCCTACTAATGCTGGTTTTCATTTATGTAAGAGAGAGTTGAACACAAGCTGTAGCACAAATGAAGGTACACATTGTAGGAAAGAAAAAAGGCTACCCAGAATATCATTAGATTCACAGGGAGTGCATATAATATCCAGATCTCCAGGTGTTGGTGCATCACTTAAAACTCATACAGATGGAATCACAACACAGCAACTAGTAAAAGAAGAAGTACAGTCAACAACCCCAAATCCTAGCAGCTTTTCTCCAGTTCTTCAGGAACAGAAGAAAACTGTTTTAGTTCAGTCATCTCCAGGATTTTTTGTTCCTTTGCATCTTGCTAACCAGCCTGGACTGCAGGTTGTTTCAGGAAAATCTCTTCCGTCAACCAGTTCATTTGATAGTCATGCAACTAAAGGTGTACCTGCTTCTTTTGTTTTAAATAAAGGACCTGGAGTGATACTGACTTTCAGTGGGGCAATTGGAACAGTTGCAAATGTCCGTAGTGATAGTTCTCAGGTTTTAGGCAGTGTCGCATCCAGAGAATATGGTAAAATAACCATACCAGCTTCAAAAGTGGAGCGGAAAAATGACAGCTTCAGAGGCGTAAGAAGTTCCTGTAGTAGGAGAGCACATCATCCAGCAAATGACTCACTGAATAGCACATCATTCAAAGGACCTTTTGTAATTACAAACTCATCAGAGTCATCTATGAAAGGAATTTCTTCTGTGAAAGTGTTACCAGAGCAGCAGGATGCTGTCTTTGGTTCTGTGGAGTCAGTAAAACAACAGGAAATGAAACAGAAACATGTTTATGCACTTTTGCCTGATGGACAGCAGGCAGTTTTCCTGCAATGTATGACACCAAACAAACCTGAAGTACGTAAACATAGTGTTTTTCAGGAGAGTGCTCATTGTCAAAACTGTCAACCAAAGAAAACTGGAGCCATGCAACAAAAGCTTTTGCTGAAAATTAAGACTTCTTCAGATACGCTGACTGATACCAATCAGTCAGTGAACAACTCAGTGCCCTCACTACAGTTGGATAACTTGCAGTCCCTTACTCCTGCACTAGCACAGAAACAGACTAATCTTACTTCTAATGATGCCTTAATCTTACCAGGTAGGTTAATGCCAGCAAATGCCTCTTTGGCAAACTCTAATCCAGCATGTCGTATTCCTTCTGTAGAACCTGTATATTCTACCAAACCTGCAGGGACGTGGTTGCGAAAAGGTTCTGCAGAGAGTACACAAGTAATAACTGCTAACAACAGGAATAACTGTGGTAGTCAGAAGTCCACATGGCGCACCCGGAACAGAGTGGCAAAAGTAAAATCTCGCTTAAAGCAAACTGGGCCTGAAAGTTCGGAAACTGTGGTTTTACAAAGAAACAATTTCAAACGGAAATGCAAGGATAATTGCAGAGAACCTCCAAGAAAGAAAGCAACATTGCACAGAAAGTGTAAGGAAAAGAATCAAGCTCAAGTTGTTAGTGAATCAGGTGGCCCTTACAAACCAAGGGCATCAAAAGAAACTGTGAGGACTTTGAAACTACTTCCTTTTAATTCTAAACAGCTTGTAAAATGCCCTCGGAGAAATCAACCAGTTGTTGTGCTTAACCATCCTGATGCAGATGTTCCAGAAGTTGTAAATGTAATGAAAACCATTGCTAAATTTAAGGGACATGTTCTTAAGGTTTCATTGTCAAAAAGAACTATTGAAGCACTTCTGGAGCCAGCCTTCTGCAATAGTTTGGATGTAACTACTGATGATCTTTCTCAAAAGAGGCACAAGACAGTAAAACCTATTAGCCCTGTAAAAGAAAGATTTGTATTAAAATTGACACTGAAAAAGACTAGCAAAAACAATTATCAGATTGTGAAAACTACCTCTGATAATACCTTGAAAGCTAAGTTTAGCTGCTGGTTTTGTGGTAGAATATTTGACAATCAGGATAATTGGGTAGGACATGGACAGAGGCATCTGATGGAGGCTACTCGAGATTGGAATTCGTTAATGTAATGTAATGATGACCAGTGAGGAAAATAAAACTTAACTATCATGCATCACAGCTTTTTAGAATCAATTTAAATTATGATACACAAATTGTTTTGTATTTCAGTATTGTAACTGAAATTTAAAAATAATGCAAAGTGCTTGTATTTTAAAAGGAAAAACAGATTCTCTGTTGCCATTGAGCTTTTAGATACATCAAGGAACTTTGTGGTTTAGATAACTTGTAACTAACTGCAAATACAATTCCATAAAAAAAAATATATTATTTTTTGTTACTACTCTCCTGTCCTATATTTTTATTCTGTAAAATGAGTCTTCAGGGCTTCTGTACATATTTAAAAAATCAAAACATGTAAATATTTTTATACTTTTCAGTTATTTGATATGATTCTTGCACAGAATTTTTTTCCCCTCTCCCTTTTTTTTTTCAATTCTGTGCACGCACTACTAAATTTTTTTTTTTTTTTTTTGGTCAACTACACAGCTGTTATCCTGGAATTTTTGTTGTTATTTTCACTTGTTAGCTTTTGATTTTGCTTTTCAGGGATTGAACACTATCTTTAGCAAGTGCCTAAAAGATGTGAAGCAGTTTACATTATGTCAACTGTGTAAGCAGAGGTCCAAACAGGGCCATTTTCCCAATAGTTTCATTTAAACAAAGCCATATGTGAATGCTTTAAGCTATATTGCTATGCACATGACACTTGTACTATTTCTGTGCAGTTTGTCTACTTTCTTAGTGAAGTATTTTTCATATAAATTAATAAAACATGTTACAATTGTGTTAATACGGTGAGCTTGAGAATGGAATCAGTTGAAAATATACTATATATATATTCATAATGTATATGGTGTTTCAGAATGGTGAACATTCCTAACCTGTATTGATTCTGTTCCTATTAAATTTGCTATAACTTGTATTTTCAGAATATGACTGTGAGCATTTATAGAAAATACTCCTGGTTTTGTTATATACTATGGCTGCCACAAACCCTGTAGGAAGGCCAGCAGTGCAAGGCACCATAATGGCATGTGTAATTACAATTTTATTCCAGGTGCATGTAATCTGTCCCCATAATGATTACGTGGTATTCTCCTGTTGCTTATTCAGATGAACCTTTTATGGTACTGGGGATTTTGCAAAACCAAGGCTTCAGCTATTCTGTCCTCATTTTGATGGTTAGTAGGGTAATACTCCCAGGAACCTGCTTGTTTCCTCTTTGTAGTTTTAGGGATAAAGAAAGGAGAATATGAGTCACATTTTTTTAAAGTTTCTGTTTACATAAACAAAGGACCTTATCAGATCTATAGTAACTGAGAGTATACGACTGAGGGTCCTTATTACGCGTAGTGATTATTATGTTTAGAGGGTTTATCTTCTGGATTCTAAGTGAACACAGAGGCTAGATTCAGTGGGAGTGCCCTTAGCACATGGCACCTGGTGTTTGTATCAGTCTTTACAAGCAGTTTGGTTCCGAGATGAGGCACTCTACAATTCACATCTTCCCTTGTACTTGATGGTGTCACTCGTCGTTGGCCATGTCCTAAGGGCTTCATGAAAACCTTGAATAACTTACTGATATACTATCTGCAAGGTCAGGTGGGGTGATTCTGAGGCTGCATGGAGTGATGGGACCCACCTACACTATTCAAGTAAACATGCTGTGGAAGATTCTTCTATCTACCCTGTGCAATTACGGATTTTCCATTGGTGAGGAATACAGCAAGGTTTAATTGAAGCCAGCCTTATCTCTGTCAGCAGGCACATTCAGTAAGCAGTGGCTCTTCTGGCGTTGTAGCTGAGTGCTGTGCTCAACAAATGCAGAAGTGTAGTCAAAGTTTTGCCCAAGTAAAGGAAGGTTATGTATGTTTTTGCCCAAGTATAGGAAGGTGTGCAGGTCAGTTTCACAACATAAAAAACTGTCAAAATTGAGTACTGGACTTGGGGAAGGCTGGTCACTTAAATCACTGAGACTTTAGGTTTTGTGCAAGTCGAATGGTGGCTTTCTGTGCCTATTTGCATACAGTGAAAGTCAAGACTGACATGCTACCAGTGAAATAATTCAGTCTCTTAGGGATGTCACTGGCAACAGAATTAGAATTAGATTGCATTTTAAAAAGTTATAATGAAAATGATTTTGAAAGAATTACTTTTATTTTTTTCCTTGATGTGTCTGTTGGCAGGAAGGTCCGTGCCAGTTTGTAGTTAGTGAGTTATGTATGGGAGTCAACTGAACTATGGGAGCCAGTCAAGGCAGCATAGTTTGGGTGAAAATGAAGTTGGTGTGTGTTCTGTATCAAAATAAGCTCATTTTGTGCTGCACAGCAGGCTGGAGCTCTGATGTGAATTTGGCTAGGATCTTTGAAGAAGGCTATTGTAATGTAGGGGTGAGGCAGTGTGTTAGAAATAAACATCATTAGGAAAGGATAAGGAAGTCTTAAGCTAGGAAGGATCTATAGGCTGTCTCAGCTTGCTGTCATAAATTTGAAATTTAACCTCTGAATTCTGGATTTTGCCATAGCGCTGAGGTAGAGGCTCTGCTATAGAGTTCAAGGGTTTTTCTCTACATTGATGAAATTGATGAATCATGAGAGTGACAACTGTGGTTGATTGGACTTTTTTTTTTTTTTTTTTTTCCTGGAGAACCTTCAACAATTCTGTGAAAAAAAGAGCTCTGTAACGTTAGCAAATGCTGAAATAAGTTTGCTTTATACAATATTATTTCATTGTCATGTGTACTTTATCCATGGACATCCATCACATTCAGTGCAGAGAATTGTTACTTATTCATAAGCAGTAAGTTAATATTTTGTTTTCCACTCTTAATTATGTCCTCGTATTATTTAGTACACATTGCTCAAGTACTGTTCTGAATATAGAATTCTTTTGTATGAGCTCCTCTGTAATGCTTCATTTGCAGTTATAAGAGTTTTGCACTTCTATGGATCTGCTTTCAAGGAATCTCAAGTCTCAGACTTCCATGAAACTAAGACCACAAAGATCAGCAGCAGAAAATTTGGCTTAAGCAATCTGACCAGCATTGCAGCGGATGATGCAGTAGGAGGTTCTTCAAAAATGTGTTCAACTGCCTTAATAATGTGAGGCTATTTTTCTACTAGCTGACTCCTGCAGTGTTTGTTTGCACGTTGCTTGTTAGCTTCAGTAATGGGCAGGCATCCTACAAATGTCCCACAAGCAACAATGTTTGTTTACGCAGCTAGGATTTATCCCAAAGTATAATGTGTGAACCAATAGAAATATGTAAATATTTATGGTAAAATACTAAATAATCATGTATATAATGCCTGTAATGTCTGATGTGACAAATTGAGATGCGAGTAACGATTTGAAGAGTGACAGCTTGTAAATTTAAGCAGTGAAAAACAGCAATCTTAAATTGTTTTGTTTGCAACGTGTAACAAGATAAGAAAGCCTTAACTTGGCTATAGTGTTTTGGGACACACAAACAGAAGTGCAAGTGCAGGGTCAGTAAGTGAGAAAATGCTCTGAGAAAATGCTTTGCAAATATATACTTGGCCTGAAGTCTAACCCATTGTGTATTCTTTGTAAGATGTGTTCATCAGTAAGTCATGGTATCCCTACTTCAGTGATTCCAAAGTTTTAACCAAAAAATCATGTTCCATGTTTGTTCCAGGGCTGTTGTCATATGAGATGTGTTGTGTTGTTTTTTTTTTTAAACACTTCCTAAGAATCTGTTTCTACTGCTGGTGTTATAGATTGAAAGAGGAGGGTAGTTTTATAACTTGCATGCCTGAATGCTTGGATTTTGGAGAATGCAAGTTCTTACTCCTTTCATGGAGCAACACTGACAGAATAATTTACAATACTCCCTTTATTCTCCTTTCTAGATCAGGTAGGCAGACAACACTCCTGCTCTTTCATACATTAGTAAATATGCTACTTTGCTCTTAGTTCTCAGAAAAAAAAAATGCACCTGCTCTGCTTTGATTGCATTTTAAAGCCAACTTTTTTGTAGTTTTAATTCTTCCTTTGTTTTTCTAGTTGGGATATAAATTATGTAATAATGTCAGAGAAATATAAGGGGAGAGGTGTGCTGCTATGTCTTCTAGAAGTCAGGCTAATGTATCTGTTACCTGATGGAAACACCTGCTGGCACTAATTAGTGGCAGCTGCTGGCAATACACCAGCTGTAGGAAAAATGGTCAGGTACAGGATTGCACCATGTTGCCGTTGGCTGCTGAATTATTGTCACCAGATTTCTTAATATAGCACATTCCATCCTGAGTTACTTTGTGAAGAAAGGCATTGCTTACTGAATCCCTGCCTCGTTTTGTTGCTGAAACTGTAAGTAGACTTTTGTGAGGAGCATCAGATAATGAAACAAGACACAAAGAGTTGTGTTAACAATTTAAATTCTGTGCCATACATGAATGAATAAGGCAAAGGCTTTACCTGAATGCAAAGCAAGCCAGAGGGTGCTTTTTCACTTAGTATTTTCCATTGTGAGTATTGCTTGAAATGGTAACCTTCTAAAATGAAGTTTCATATATTTAATTTCAGATTAAATGTATAGAAGGAATAAATTAAGCTTGTAGACACTAATAGGTTTGTCTTTTGTTAGTTTTGAGGCCTTGAATTTAAAGTATATTTAAAGTGTTAATGTTTTACACATTAAACTAGTCCTAAGAATAATATTAATATAACACTAATTAGTATCAACTGAACAATATCCTAGAAAGTATTTATGTAATACTGTAAAGTAAGCTTACACAAGTCTGCTTACTACAGTAAAATCTGTATATGTAGTTTTTTACCTGTCAGGGTCTCATTTGCATCACATATGGGATAAGTAGTATAGTATTACCCGTGTTGCGAAGGGACAAAACTGAGATGCAGCAAGGTAGGCAGCCATGTGCCAAACATCACTGTATGAGTAGGCAGTTATTTCTAGAAGACAGGTGTATTACTTGTAGAAGGAATTGCTCAAAGCCACAAGGAAGCAGTTCTACAGTATAGCTACAGCATAACTGTATGTGACGTGCTGAGACCTTACAATCTTAGGCTCAAACTTGCTGTAAAGGTAATCTTAGAAAACACTGCCTAATCTGGAACAAAAAGGAAAAGCAGTGTATAGTACAGAGTGTCAGTTTGGGAAAATGTCTTTAAGATGGATTAATTTTCAGGTCTAACCAAATCAAACACCTTTGAAACTAATTAAGAACTGTTCTTAAGAGTTTTCATTAGTGTGATTTACGCATTAATAAATTGAATTTTCACCACTTCATCCTTGGTGGAAATGACAGCGTTGTCAATAATACAATAAGCAAACTGCTGTGATAGAACAGGCTTTGATTTTGTGCGTGTGTGTGTCTGTAAACCTATTATAAGAATTGAATTGATACTTAGTTTAGCAATGAGAAACAACACATTTGGGTCTTGAGAAACAAGGTTTTGAAGACAAAACTCTGAGAACTATTAAGTATATATGCTAAAGCTTTAAAAAGCAATTGCTTTTGTAACTACATATCTTGTAAAGGAGCTCATACAGAAATATACATTGAAGACATCCACAACGCCGAACTGATGCTTGGTTGGTAGAAGGATGTTTAAAAAAAAGTAATGGGGTAATGTCTCTGTACACAATTGATTTCATGGTATTTTTAATTTTATTTGCATATTTGAAAATACAAACAAATACTAATGAGACAGAGTAAAGCTAAGGAAAAGGACATGTCCATTAGTCTAAAACAGTGACAGCTTTATTGTTGTGAAGTTCATTCATGTGAAGTACAGTCCTATTTTCAGCTTGTACACAGCAGTACATCACGTTGAGTTGCTCTAACTTCTGGGGCTGTGCACTTCACAAAGAAATTACTGAAAGCAGTTATCTGTGGTAAACCTAACAAATGGAACGAGTAGATCACTGTGGGTATTCTCACTTTTAAA